AATTTTCTGCTAGAATTCATGCATCTTCCATGCATGTTAGTTGTAAAAATTACCAAAGGAAAATTACAAATCATTTTGATTTGACATAATGAAGAATTTACCAATTCTCTAGTAATATTAAAGCTGTTGGTAGATTCCAACAATCCGATTTAATCCGGACTTAAGATCATGGAGCCAATCAAAAATATAAATAAGGTGACTTATGGAATGGCTTTAGAGTTACTCAACAGATAACCTGGACTATTCAATGATCAAATTTAACGAAAATGTTCGTATCCACTACGTTGAATCCAATTGTCCATGCTAAACCAGATACTGGGAATTCATGGTTGCTGACAGAATGACGTAGGATAGATGAAACCGCTAAAATTATTAATCCTGTACTAGATATAAGACATAGAAATAAAATACAATCATAAAAAGTTTTTTATTTGTTTCACTAATATTATGACAAATTTTGATAAAGAACTTTGTAATATATAGAACAAAAATAAAAGACATTTGTAAAAAATATATTTTAATTTGTTACACTGTTTTAATTTATTAAATTATTTTTGTTAATCCAAGAATTATGAGAACTATTCATTCCCATCCATTTTACATATACCTTGTTTCCTTTTCTCCTCAACACCTCCTCCACTAAATAAATATCAGGAAACCGGGTTTTTGGTTAATATTTTTATATGATTTTTGACTTTATTTAAATTTTGTGTTAATTTTTCGTTTTCTAACTGTATTTTATTCAATTTTTTATTTATTGCTATTAATTTCAATTTTTTTACCTTTAATTCAAATTTTTTTTTCTTGTGTTTCGCTATTGTTTCTTTTTCATTTATTTCTATAACTTTTTTAAGTAATGGTTCCATTATTAAATTGTATATATTTCGGTAAAAGAATCACTAGTTGCTTCATTCTCATCCTTTTCAAGTTCATTCATATTTTGTCCCTCACTCCGTTCTGGCTCACTGCACTCATTTCACTCGTCACCTACACAATCCAATTTATCTATTTCCGTAGCACTGTAATCCATGATTGTCTTCTTCCTCAACACTATCCAGATAGTCGAGAACACTAGTCCACTCAATCACCACATCACTTATCTGATCTTCTTGCTCAGAAGCATTACTTAAACCGCAATGGTCTTCTATTTCACTCTCCGAAATATTTACATATTTCACTTGGGCATTACTTTGCCCAAAAAAAAATGAGACCCTAGAATGGGCTTGACAGTTGATGGGTCACCATCAAAAACTATGGAACTTGAATTGGATTCATCATTGCACATTTTAATATTTTTGCGACCGATTTGGGACATATTGTATAATCTGAAAAAAACTGTATAATATCTGAACATAAGGAATGCTGTTATTTATACTATATTCCTCCACCACAAAATTCCCAAAAATTCAATAAAGTTAGAAAGTATATTCTTGATAACAACGCCTTACATGGCATTACTGCATTACTTAGCAGAGGCATGACATAAATCAGTATTCGACCATAAATTAAGAAACCTTAGTGATCTTCTAACTAATGTCTAGAGTTTTATGAATAATAATTGTAAAAAAATTAATATGGCATATGAACTTAAGTAAGTTTTTAGTTCGCGTGTGATAAGTATGTATAAAGTTAATTTATTTGAAAACTGCAAGAGATAGGTATAGAGAATACCAATACGGATCAATAGTGAAGAACATATTTTTCTAAAATAATGAATCACATACATTAAAAAAAAAAAGAATTAGGCAAACATTAGGGATGCCGGTTTTATGCCAATTTTGACTGCACCCTGTATAATGAAAAAGGCAACTTTACACTGTAAACGATAATGCTGTATCTGGTTAATAAGTTCATAAGGAATTTAAACTTTTATTCAAATTACATTAGAGGATATTAAACTTTATATAAGTACATGGTACAAAAGTGTAATTTTCATATAAAAACCATTATCAAACCATTATAACTCAAAAACGGTTCACAATAGGTATAGGGAAGAATTAACAATAGAAAAGGTGTAGGAAGTATTAAGAATAACGTGAATATTTCTAAAATTAAAATATATACAGGGTGTCCCATTAAAAAAAACGAAGTTATAAGCTACTTCCGGTATAATTGGAAGTGGCAAATGGATCAAAATATATTTATTAAATAGGTCACTCTTCAAAACCATCTCATTGCAATTTTCATGATTCAGTTACGTTTAGTTCTTGAGATATTTCTAATTCGCCGTTGGACAGGGCTAAATTTTGAACAGCTAATAAGAACAGCCGAAGATAGAGAAGAGTTTAAAATTGTAGTAGCCAACCTCCATTGAGGAGAGGGCACTTTAAGAAGAAGACGGCCGTTTATTTGTCGCACCCTGTAATTAATGGGAATACTTGGATCGTTCCACTACATTAAATATTCACAATAACACCCACAGTAAATTTATCATGGAATTTACGAAGATCCAATATATTGAGCATGGAAATCAGACCATCATCCGGTAGGAGAGGAATATAAGGCTTTCCAATTTTCCCTTCATACGAATATGCAATATTTTTATGAAAGGCATACGCATAAGACAAATATGGATATACATATTAACCCTAAATGTTAAAACTTTGCATACACAGAGTAAAGCAATACAGCAAACCTTTTCGATGTATTATAGACACCACGGTAATAATTTCCTAAACCTAGTTGTTATCGATTTCTCGGATTATAGAACAGTATTCCTAATAAACTATGCTTTGTAAATTTTTCTGTAAGTTATTCGTGAAAGACTGCATAAAATAGTGAAAGAATATGTGGAAGACACACAATTATTGTTCGTTAGAATTTGAGATGTACTTTTTGTTACTCATGTATTCTCTCAAAGACGCTTAGGTATGAACCATGATATTTATTTCTGTTTCACTAATTTCGAAAAGGCACTTACTGGAGTACGCAATGAAACACTAATAAAAATACAAAATAACAAAAATATTGACAGTGGAGATTTATGAATTATTAGCTAGCTGTACAGGGTTTCTCATTATATTTTGACTCCCACGTATTTTTCTTAATTTCGAGAATACAAAAAAAAGTTTTAAATAAAAGTTGTATTATTTTATTTGTACCGACCAACAGTGTAGCAACAGACCAAATTTTGTATACAGGGGGTGCTCAATAAAATGCATCTTCAATATTTCAAATGGAACACCCTGTATTTTTTATAGTTTGGAGTAGCCCTGCATTTCCTGATTACAAATATATAACATACTGTACCATTAGTTTTGTTCTATAATGGCATATGGTACTACTGTACTATACTAAGATAAGAAAAAAATATATTTAGAAAGTCAACAAAATTAATGGCTTACAATACTACATTTTAACATACAATATTACAATAGATGCTCAAAGTGCCCTCCATTTTTGTCAATGCACAAGTAATATCTTCGTCTCAAATTTTCAAATGCGTCAGATATTGTGTTATTATGACCATTTAAATTTTCAATTTCCCGTGATAGTGTTAATATTTGTATTTGAATCAAAATACATTTTTTCTTTTAAAAACCCCCATAAAAAGCTATCACATGCTGTTAAGTCGGGACTATTTGGTGGCCATGTAATGGTACCCTTATTGCCGATCCACACATTAAATTGATTATTTAAATTTTCTCAAACGGTTACGACATTATGTGGCGGGCTAATTGATTTTGTGTATAATTTGGATTTATTAACTCATTCACTTCTGTAATACTGTGTCGAAATATGATTCCCCAGTTAATTTATAATCATAAAACAATGGTTCAACTATTTTGTTTTGAAATATTCCGCACCACACATTTATTGATTTTCTTCCTGACTTTTTTATTTGCTTGGAGAGAGCATCAGACTATGTACCATTCGCTGTTATATATTTTCAATATTATTATATGGAGCTGAGACTTGGACATTAAAAAATATAATTTAAAAAGAATCGATGCCTTCGAACTCTGGTTATACCGCAGAGTATTGAAAATATCATGGACTGATAGAATTACAAAAAAAGAAGTACTGGAGAGGGTTGGTAAGGAAACATAACTAATATCCATTATACAAACCAGAAAACTGGAATACCTAGACCGAAGGGCTGTTGGCCGAAGGCAGAACTCATGGTTAAAGAATCTACGTGATTGGTATCAATGCAGATCTATTGATTTGTTTAGAGCAGCAAATTTTAAAATAAAAATAGCCATTATGATTGCCAACCTCCGTAGGGAGACGCCACTCTAAGAAGAAGATCTATCTGTACTGGAATCAAAATACCAATATACCTAAAGGTAATCAAAAATTAGAGATTTAGAAATGTAGTGTTTGTTAGAGAAGGATATTAAAAATAAATAGGACAATATAAAAATCGAAGTGCTGTGAAATAGATATGAAGAATTAGTAATTAGGAAAGAACAGAACTAGAGGAGAACAATATGAGCTTCTTAGGATCATTATGGAAGGTTAAATTAAGGAAGAAAGAAGCATATTAAGTAGACACATTTCTTGATTGGGGAATTTTAGAGAATTTAACTGCAGCTCAGTAGAGTTATTCAGAGCAGCAACTAACAAAATATTTAAGCATATTTATGTACATAACTTAAGAAAAAGAGTAGGATACTAACATTATTTTTGCTAGAATACTTTACTTTTTTGTATATATGTTTTTCAGCATTTTAAAACTTATTCTACTCCTTTGTTTCCGACTAAAAAATCTGTGTAATGTTTGTTATACAATACAATACATCATATTTGAAGACAACTGGATACCTTGTCATGGAAATTTTAAGGATGTAAATTTAGAATTATTGTTTGTCTTTTAATCTTTAAATATTTATCATCAACTTACATTATGTCTATTTTAATTTTATCTATCACAAATTTAATATCTAAAATGCATTGTTTTATACAAAAACTGAATTTAATCATTCTTTTAAAATGCCGTATTAATTAAAGATACTTTTCTTTGCTATAATTTCGTGGGCACTTAATAGTTTTCAAGTATGGACCACAGTGAAAAAGTGGACAGGCAAACCAATCCTCGCGAAAAGGCTAATATTTTTTCTGTTTTAACTTTTTTGTAAGTATTTGGTAGTGTCTTTCGATTTAATTTTTTTCATCACCTATTTTTTAGTATAAACATTATTTGTACATCCTTATTATATTGTTCTAAACTATTTTCTTGTGAATTAACCACAATTTAAATTTAAAACATGTTTATTTCGACGTTTAATGTCTATTTTCAGAACGATTTTCGAAGTGGAGAACTAAACCCAAAAATAAAGTTAGAAAAGCATTGGAGATATTAGGTTGCCTTGTAAAACTATCATAGTGTCGATTTTATATACACTCACCGGCAAAATTAACGGAACACCTTAAAAATGGGACATGTTAGATGACTCGAATTTCCTAAACCTGTTGTCCGATTTTAGTGATTTTTTTAGTATGTTATAGATATATTATTTAAGAATATCAATGAAATAATATTGTTGCTAGACAGGTCAACGTCATTTTATACCGGGTGTAACAATCATACTGTGTTTTTTCCTTAAAGTTCGAAACACCCTGTGGAATATTCTAGCATATATAAAATATTGAAATTAAAGTTCAATTATAGTCTCAGGCTTTCTTAACATTTTCTTTTTTGATTAATTTGCTTGTGTTGGATAATAAAAAAGTTAGGTACGTTAACAACTAGCCATGTTTTTCATCAATAAATGCTCATTTTCTTCTTAGCTTCACCAGCATATTTAAAGGAACAACCATAAAATCTGAGTATTTTCTCTCTAGTCTATGTACTGTTTAGATAATATCATAATACGAATGTTGGTGAAGTATTTTGAATTTATATTACAATGGTAATACAATATAAAACCTGTTTACGAAGAAATAAAACACAAAGATGTCAGACTCAACATAATACGGATTTTAAATGCATTAACTTTATTGTACAGTTTGAACTTAAATTGTTTTTTTATGCATTTTTTTGGATTTAATAGCGTGTGTTTCCCCTACGAGCCCTTACAACTGCAGTTATTCGTCTTCTCATACTTCTGATAACGCTATCGATCAGTTGTTGGGCAGCCTCTCCCATTCCTCAATCTTTTGCAATTGTGACTTCTTCTCTGTTTTGAATAGCAGTACCCTAAGTTTTCTGCCTAGCATGTCCCACATATCCTCTATCGGGTTTAGGTCTGGGGAACAAGCTGGCCAATTCATCGTTGTTATACCCACTTGTAATAGGAAATATCTTACACTTACACTCTTAAGCCGGCCACTCACGGTCCAACGGTGTCGTTCGACAAAATCGGACAGCGGTGTTGTTCAATTTGTTGGCATATCTGGTGCGTCCACACACCGTACTGCGCCGCAGTATTTGTTCGGTTCTCGACCATGTCAGATCAAACAATCATTTTAGCGTCTCTTGCTTTGTGTATAACAAAGCGTAAAAACAAACCTAAAATGAAACGTAGATTTAGGTGCAAAGAATGGCTTATGAAAAGGGATGCACTGAGTCATCATCAGATAGATTTGAAATAGCTCTTCGGGGTACATTCTGATCATTTAAAAATGAGAGCAACGGAAAATACCACAATTTAGGTTTATAAATCTCGTCTGTCCCTGCACCCGATTTACTTGATTGCAATACTAATTTTAGTTCTCTTTTATAGGATGTTCTAAAATTGTTAATTTTTTTTCTTACATACTCCTCAGTCGCATCTTTGTTTACTTCTTGGAACTTTAATATTAAAATGTCCATTGCCTGTTTTCGGGCGTTTCTATCGTGATACGTTTTACTTTTAATTCGCCATAAACATTCTTGTTCTTTATATAATTAAAAAAACTCTCTCAAAAAATTCTCGCTAAATGAAGCCATGTCGATTTTCTAATATGATTAAAGCAAGTGTGTAGCATGATATAAGGAAACAAGGTATGCTCACTAGGTGGACTCGTTTTTGCACATCGCTGCGCTGACCAAAATCCACCATCTTTTCAATACGTCACATGCATGTAGGGATGGTGACCTTATCCCGTACCAGTTACTTTGAAACATGTATTTTATTTATACTTGTGGAACTGATCCCTATCACCAATATAAACGAGTACGGGTCATGGACGTATAAATGAAGATCTTTATTTATACGTCCATGGTACGGGTACTGTACTCATTTGTTTTGTAAAACAAAAACCCTCTATTAAAAAGATCGCATGTTGTATATGGAATTCTCTGCTCGAATTGTGATGGAGTTTATATTGGACAAACCAGTCAGCTACTGAACTCAAGAATACGTTCCCACAAATATGACAAAAAAACTCAACTGCCCTCACAAAACATGAAAACGAAAAAAAACATAAATTTGATTTTGAGAAAACCAAGATCCTAAAAAGTGAACCCAACAAGAAGAAGAGAGAGCTTCTAGAGTCTATACAAATAAAAAAATAACAACGTCATAAATGATAAAAAAGATGTCAAAAATTTAAACAAAATATAATTTAACTTAATTTAAAAACACATAAAAAACAATCTCAGAACGCCTATGTTAAAATAACTGATTGTTTAAACGATAAACCAACATCAATAAACACATAAGATTTAAAATATATTTTACATGTAGTGACTTAGTGGGTATGTCCTATGTTTTTAATATTATTTTAATTGTGACGTGTACTTGTTAGTACCGTATTTTACATGCTTGGTAAGTCAAAAATTTAACTTTTAAACCGTATTATGTCTGTCATGAAATGTTTTTCTAGTCAATATTATTTCTTGAAAAAGGCATGGATTTCCTGCCGAAACGTCGGAAATATAATATATGAAAATGTCGTAGTGTCAAATCAATTTTTTTTATGAACCTAAGCCCAAGAAAATCCCATAAAATATATATTAAGGTTCAAGAACTAAACTCAAACAATATATATATATATATATATATATATATATATATATATATATATATATATATATATATATATATATATAACAGAAATTAATTAATTTCTCAGTAATACAAATAATTTTCTAGTTATTCCCACAAAATCATGGGCTTACCACAAACAAGTTAACAGTGCCAAATTGATTCATCCATATCTATAAAATCACCATTGCCAAAAATAAATATATTATTAAATATTTAAAATTTTATTTGCAAATATTTATTTTTTACTTGTTCATGTAGTATTGCTAAAATTTATTATAATCATGTTATGCGTATTCATTTGTTATTATTCATATTCGTCAGGAAATTATAAGCTTGTCGATCAGTGGATTATTCAACAAATATCGATGACAAATATACATAAAAAATAAATAATTTAATTGTTTCATTGCATTTGTCCTTAATTTTTATCGTGTATTTCTTAACGTTTACAAAGCTTTAGATAAATATCAACAGATGTATTATTAATGTAATGTAATAACAGTAATTTAGGTATTTGAAGTTAAACAGTCATTTTAATAACTATAAAGAAATCTAACAAAATACAAATAATGTTAACGTTATGTTTAGATATCTATTTAACGAATGATAACAAACTGATTTCCAAACCAGTATTTTTTAACAGGCATTTTTGTATACGCGTATCAGTTTAACCTGATCCACAAAAATACTTGGATCAACCACCTCTACATGCGTGACGTCTGCTTTGTTTACGTCCGTCCAGCTAAGTGTTTTGCATTTTTTAACCTTACCTGGCAATGTATTGTAATTTAAAAGTAAATTTTTTTTGTTTTGTTTCGATTTAAAAAAAATTATTTTAGCAAGAGTCTGTTCAGATAATTTTAAATCTGAATTAATTGGATTAATGAATAATATTAATTTTTTAAATTAATTTTAAAAATTATTTTAGCAAGAGTCTGTTCAGATAATTTTAAATCTGAATTAATTGGATTAATGAATAATATTAATTTTTTAAATTAATTTTAAAAATTATTTTAGTAAGAGTCTGTTCAGATCATTTTAAATCTGAATTAATTGGATTAATGAATATTTTTTATCAATTTTGTAAATATTTGAATTGCCGCCTTCAAAATGGCGGATTTTGATCGTAAACGCGATTGGCTGTTCAAAAAAGTTGATGAAATCAACTCTGCAGTACTGCCGCAGACAGGCCAGTCTGTCTGCGGTCAAATTGTACGATTTCGTTGGATGCACGGTCACACACGATCAAAATCCTTGTCAATTCGTCGAACTCGACGAAGTTGAACAACGCCGCTGTACCACGGTCACACACGCTCAATAAATTGAAATCAACTCTGCAGTACTGCCACAGACAGGCCAGTGTGTCTGCGATCAAATTGTACGATTTTGTTGGATGCACGTTCACACACGATCAAAATCCTTGTCAATTCGTCGAACTCGACGAAGTTGAACAACGCCGCTGTACCGTGAGTGGCCGCCTTTACACTATAAAATAAAATTTTCGCCAATATATGGTGAAAAAGGTACCACATGGTCTTGGAGAATATCTCTGATATACTTATCTGCTGTTAATGCTCCACCATCAATCACCACTAACTCTGTTATTGCTCCCAAACATATACCGCCCCACACCATAATTGAACCTCCACCAAAAGGTACGGTCGTAGTAAAATTGAAAGGGGCATTTCGTTCTCCTTGGCGTTAATACAATCTTTCTCTACCGTCGATGAATTTACACAGAAACGGCTCTCGTCCGTAAAGAGAATTTTACTCCAGTGGTTATCATTCCAAATTTGATGTACTCGACCAAATTGTAGTCGTGCTAAACGATGGTGTCTCTGGAGTCTGGGAGCTTATATTGGCATATATGATTTGAGACCGGCTTCTTTAAGTCTCTTTCTTATTGTGCGCTCAATTAAATACAAGTTTGCACTTGTTATGAACAGACAGAATGACTGTAAAATGTAAAACACAATACAAATAAACAAATTAATTTGACATTTTGACATTTAAGACTTTCTTGTGACAAGGAGCTTTCAAAGCTATGCAGATATAGTCTATAAAATACAAATATAAAGAAATATTGCATTAATAACAGGTTCCTTTAAATTTGCCGGTGTGTGCATTAAATTGTTAACTTCTCATAGCCTACTTTAGGCTTGTTTTTAAACTAAGCAGAAAATGAGGATTTATTGATGAAAAACATGGCTAATTGTTAACGTACCTAACTTTTTTATTATCAAACATAAGCAAATGAATCAAAAAAGAAAATGTTAAGAAAGCCTGAGGCTATAATTAAGTTTTAATTTCAATATTTTATATATGCTAGAATATTCCACAGGGTGTTCCGAACTTTAAGGAAAAAACACAGTAGGATTGTTACACCCGGTATAAAATGACATTGACCTGTCTAGCAACAATATTATTACATAGATATTCTTAAATAATATACCTATAACATACTAAAAAAATCACTAAAATTGGACAACAGGTTTAGGAAATTCGAGACATCTAACATGTCCCAATTTTAAGGTGTTCCGTTAATTTTGCCGGTGAGTGTATATTATGTATTAGTTGCCTATATTTCGAATTTACTCTACAATTATTAATAGCTTGTTCTATGGCACACATCTCGATACTATCAAATGCCTTTTCATAGTCTACGAGGACAAGAAATACGGGTAGTTCGTACCCATTTGCCTTCTCTATCATTGTTCTTATTATCAGCAGATAGTCTGATGTATTATATCTTTTGTCAGCCTTTTCAACCGGTTGGTAGTTATTCATTTTGTAAGTCAACCGCAGGGAAGTCGCTAAGGTATTGGCCACCCGTGTGCAACTTAATATTTGCCGCCCTTCTTCCAACACTTTAGACATACATATTATTATTTAAAGAAATGGGCAGAAGATGCATAATATAACAATAATAATTTGTAAATAGATAAATACTTACTTGAACATTTAGACTAGTCTCTATGATCTAACGTCCTTATATTATCCTAATGTATATCCCAATATCCTAATATCCCATCCTAATATCCTAATTTAAGCGACGTTTGTTCTAATTTCATAATCATGATCCAACGTCCAGTAATTTAAACGTCCATTTAATTAAAATAAACCCTGAATAGAAACATAAACACATAAAAAACTAAAAACGCACTTTTCGGACTTTCGTCTCTTTTTTGACAATATCTTTAATGTCCAATGCCGCACACACTTCATGTTCTATAGATAACATTTGCTGAAGCAGAAAGTCTATCTTGCTTCATTGAGGATCGCAAATAGTTTTTAATAATCTTTAAGTTTTGAAAACGACCGCTCACCCGTAGCTACAGTAACCGGTAGAGTTAGGAATAGGGATGGCGGTTTTTGACAAAATACCGGTTTTCGGTTATACCGGTTTTTTTTGCTTACGGTAACCTGGCAGTTATAACCGGCCAAAAAAACCGGTTTTTCCAAAAACCGGTTTTCGGTTTTTTTATTCCAATAGATTAGAAAGTTACATTTACAATGCACTTTAGTTTGCGATACTACATTCGACTCGATATCAATATGATCAAAATTAGTACTATCGAAAGAACATCAATATCAATGAAAATACAACACAATTTTTTGTGTTTTTTGAGAAAAAAATTCCCTAACAAAAATTTCCCAGACTCTTTCAAATGGGATTTAAAGAAAATAATATTAACATAAATATTTTACTTAAAAATAAATTGGATAATGCAATTCATCTTTTATTTTTACTACCATCAAAAAAAATTATCATGTAGCCTATTACTTTTAACTCTTTTACGACTTCCGGTATGGGTATAAATCGTTTTGAAAACGTAGGGAAATCCTTGAGATTCGTATTCGTAATCGGTAACTCGATATTCATAGTCATTATTTTTGGTAATCAGAAAAAGCCATTTACCCACTTTCAATGTCACGAGTCAAGTGTGAAAAATAGATGATGTATAAATACCAGATCAGTTCTTATGTAAAAATATTATGATTACAAATACTTTTTCAACAAAATACTATAATAAAATTCAATTGTTTCTGGCTGATGTGAGCTTGCAGTTTCAGTATTTATAAAATAAAATAAAAATTGAATTTTAGTTGTGTTTGGAATAATTACTTGAGAATAATAATTATGATTGGGTGGGTACCAAAATAATACCTAACCTAAAATAGTAGTGTAATAGTAATCACTGTAAAAACCTAATAACCGGTTTTTACTTTAAAAATAAAAAACTGGTTATAACCGGGACAAAAAAACAACCGATAAAACCGGTTATTTCGAAGTAAAAAAACCGGTTTTCGGTTAAAACCGGCAGGTTTTTCCCATCCCTAGTTAGGAATATACGTACTACTATAGTTAAGTTGGGAATTGTTGATACAAGATTATTTTCGTAAATGTATTCAAGAATATCACTATACTACGTTTCACGTTTAGAAAATAACATTGCGAAGATAGGGCCATGTATTTCTTATGGACGATAGCAACACGGCGTTGCCACGACACACACAAGCACAATTTAGGTTTGTATAATTTGTATTTTCGTTTCCACAAACATGAATTAAATTAATGTTTTTTAACGTAATTGACCAAAAGTGCCCATTCGACACAAGAGATGAAAAGTAGGGAAAATGATTTTAATTAGATAAATAGTATTTACAAAAGATAATTTTATTTTATCTTATTTTAATTATAGTAACGACAGTTTATTTGTTTTTCGGTGAGAATACGATATGCCATGAATCATATAAATCAGTAGAAAATATTGACCGCTTGGAATGCGTATATCTAATTACTAATTGCAACTTAAAATAATACGATGTGCGTATGTCAGCTATTTTATGTCGTCTCTGACTACATAATGATAATAAGACTTTTATTTAGTAGTTATTCTGACTTTACAGTTAAATATTAATTGAAAATGAAAATTCAAAAATTAAGCAAAGGGAATATCTTGGACATCCGTGCAAAAGAGAGTGTCTGAGAGTTTTGGCAACACTGATCTCCATAAGCGTAATGTTTTTTTCTTAACGTGAAACAAAGAATAGGACTTTTTTCTGCGGAAAAAAAATGGTTGAATTTCTCCATACAAATCGGTTGCACTAATGTCAGTATCTGAGCTGTTTATGTCTGTAAGGGCTCGATTCACTTTCTCACATCGTTTTTAACTTTGGTTATGCCATATATTACACTAAAAATGTCTATGTGCTGTTGAAGTAATTGGAACCGTTCTTCAATTCCTGTTATAGCTGGCAGCATCCAAAATCTTAAAATAAAAATTTATTTTAAATGACAATTCTGGTGATAATATAGGTTCATCAGCTCCTTCATACTCAAAATGCACTTTTCTTCTTCTAACTTGTTCGGTAGAGGAGCTAGGGAAATCTTCTTTTATGTTAGCTTTTGTAGATATCTCTCTGGATTCGGTTACACAATTTTGAAAATGTTCATCAGAACGGTTTGGTTTGGAAGTGCATCAAGTGAAGATTTTATGTCAAATTTTTGACTTTGTATAATTTTGCTAACCACCTTTATTTTACTGAAAATATCTTGCCACACTCCAACAGAAGATATATTTTAAACAGAAGACTTAAAATTTTATTTTTAAGTGATTTTGCTAAACTCTTAGTATTCATATCCCCTGTGTTATCATTTTGCAATTCTTCTAAAGCATAATATATTTCACTAATCTGGGTTTTTAATGGTGCGATTGCATCGATCCGACTCTCTCTCAAAAAATTGTTCGCGACCCCCCAATTTCCCCCCACTCATTTATTCAATATTATTTGACAAAAATAGCGTGCCTAATTTACAATTATCTTTAATTTTACTTGACTGTTTAAGTTTAAATCAAAAATAATTATTTTATTTTAATACAATTATTTTAATGATTGCGATCGAATGCAGTTCGAATCCAAACAGCCTATGGTGGCGAACGCGGTGTTGAGTAATGAGTAAATATTTTACGACTTACGTATTCCCGTTTACGTATATACGTCTACGATAAATTATAAATTATGGATAAGTTTTTAAAAAGAAGTGCTCTTTTTTCTAAAAAGAAGTCTTTCTTCCAATATTAGCATTAAAATCTCCCATTATTATTATTTTAGATTTTTTGTTGTTGTCTATTTTTTTTTGTTATTTTGTTAAATAACACAAAAAGTATATTAATTTAACTTGTATGGTTCAGAAAATAGTAGGAGGTGGACTTTAGACGAGCACTGGATAAATATTTAAATATATATTTTTTAGTTACACAGGAAAGATATTTGCACGAGGTTTCAAGAGAGATCTTGAAGATGATGACTTGTACGAGGTTATCAAAAAATGCCGCTCTCAACAATGCACAGACAAATTGGAGAATGCTTATATTAATGAAGCTGTTACCACTAAACCTGGAAAGAAAGTATCTGTATTACGAATTTTATGGAAGTTGTATGGATTTAAATATTTTGCTTTAGGAATTATTCATATGACTTGGAGATTACTAACAAGGTATGTCGTAATGATAGGTAATTTCTTTTTTATTTTAAAAGCGTATTATTTAACATAAGTTTTTTAAAATATCTTAATTATAAATATATAAATCTATCTTATAGAGTTAGGATCTATGGAGAGGGCATCACGTGACTAAAAACGACCTCACCTCGGCCATATTGTTAAGATTGTTTTGACACTTTTGACAGATCGTATATGTTTGTTTACATTTGTTGTTTTTCGAATATTTTTAGTTTTATAATACTTTTATAGAAACTGTAATAATATATTGTGATAGGGCATATTAATGGTTTTTTGTCCTCAACGTAGTTGCAGTAGCAGAAGCAATGTTAATAAAAAATCTTCAGGAATATCGTTTCACAGGTTAGTATACAAATACGTAAACTAAGTAATGGCCCGAACTTCAGAGAATAAATTAATAGTATTTGACTGTTTTAATTTATCTTTATGTCTAATATATCGTGTTTTTAGTGTTTACCGCAGGATAAATAAATAATAGTTTATTAAAAATGTATTGCACTTTTTTAGAGTATGATTAAATCTTCTGAATAACTAGTCATATTTGTATAGTAGTTTTAATATTATTGAGTCTGGCCCTGATCCCACCGCCATATTGGTATCATCGTTAGCCACGCCTACCTACGCCGTTTTTAATACATACGTTAATATGCTCATAGCTTCTCCATAGATTCTAACTCGATGCACTCCTCTTATACCATTAGGTGTTGAGGGATTTATCCTCGACAATCATTTAACATTTGATAAGTTATATCCATTCTTTTGTGTTCGGTACTATTTTCTGGCTTTCAGCCATGATTTGCACATATTATATTCTGGAATATTTCTGTCATGTTACTGTTTCAGGCGTCCGTTTTTATTTTACCCTGTTGGTCTTGCCTACCAAATTTCCAGACCATGCCAATTTTCTGCAACATATTAAGCCATAGGGTCGCAACGTGTCGGGAGGATTATCCCTCTAACCCCCTTCCGGAGACCCGCACAGCGGATGCGGATTCGTGCTGTGCCAAATCCTGCCTTCGCTGTGCTTTCCACCAGGTCACAGAATCTATCCTAACCTAACCCAACCGCACCTAATCCTCTATTCGCGAGGAACCGCAAAGTGGGCGACGCCTGGTGGTAGATTTCCAAAGCATCGGGAAAACCTTGAAATTGTCATTATTTTGTGTACATATTAGCGACCGGTTTATATTGTAAATAACAATGACTTCGACTTCAAAAAGCTATTGCAGTGTTCCTCAATGTTCTCCTATTATAATTCACAAAAAAATTCCATACATAAGTTTCTTCTGGACGAAAATATAAGAAAGGTTTGGCAATGCATTTTGCGAATTGCCAAACCTATAACCAAGTACATAACTGTGTGCAGTTTACATTTTACTGAGAACGATTACTTTCCAAGTGTTTTAATATATTTTTACTTAATTTACTTTATAGTAACACCTGAAACTAAATTGAGAAGACTGAAGAAAAATGCTGTTCCACCAGCTAAATTGCCCCAACGGTTTCATGACGTTATTAGTAGAAAACGTAACGCGTAATTTACAAAATATAACGTGGCCAGCTCCAAAAACTGCCTTACCCTCAACTAAAGATCTCTGCCGATCTTGAAACCACATAAATAATTAAGATAATGTAAATTTTACTTCCCGTGTTTCAGACATACTGTAGAAAAACAAACATTTAGTTTTATTTTTATTTAGGTTTGGGAGTAATTACCTTATGTACAAACTCGAATCACAAACAAATAAAGTTTGAAGAACGTACTCCAACTTTTACTTTGGCAAAACACACGTGTACATGATTTATATTAAACGTTTTAAAGCTTAGAGATCATATAAGAAAATGATTTGTTTTCCGAAGTTATCGTCCATCTCTGAAATCTTCAGCGCCCCCTGTCGAAATTGGCTATCACGAATTGTATCTAGAAATTTTAATTTTTGAGGATTTATCCTATTTCAGTATTTCTATTATCTTTGTTCTTTTAACACTTCTCAAATACTTCTGCTTGAACTCTAATTTTTTGTCTTTTGTATAGGACCTTTGATGTTTAATCTCTACTTCTATTGGGCCTTCCTTCTCTTCTTTTGTCGTGATTGCCATTACATTTCATACACGAGATCTTACATTATATAAAGATGGGTTATAAATTGGAATCGAACCCGCTTTAAAGCATTGTCTTTTAATATGTGTACTTTAGTTATAGAAATTAATTGTTTTTTACACTACTACAATCTACTGCGTATTATTTTTACTATATACTTTAAACTTTAGACCTTTTCAGTACTTTAGAGCCTGTAGCCATTTCAAACCTGGTAGCTTATTTTAAACCTGGCCAAACTCAGATGACATTAGAGGATGCAGTTTACGCTGCCGCACTCATGCTTGGACTAGAAGCATTTCATAATCTATACTACCAAAATTATTTTATTTATATAACGGAACTGGCGATTCAAATCAGAATATCAATGTGCTCGTTGATCTATAGAAAAGCTTTAAGACTGAGTCCAAAAGCTTTTGAAAACACAAGTTTAGGTATGTTTGGTTAGTTGTTTAATATTACAGAACTTTAAAACGTTTTTTGTGTTGTTTTTTCTATATCTTATTAGCTTAATATTTTAATATTATTATCTTATTATATTATTAAAGTCATAAGCGTATAAACACAGATGGACTCAGTTATTTACATACAATTGTGAAGTCAAAATTATTTGAATACGTCACATTCTCAGCACCTTCAACTGTTGTCATGTTTTTTTTATTAAAATTTCTTATTCGGGAGTCACTGAAAATATTACTCCGTATTTTATACTCTACAGGTGCTATCAAACAAAAATAATAATTTATTGTTATATTATTATATTTAATTGTAATCCAAATATCAAGTGTGCACATAGTGTGCATTATCATTTAATAACAGCGTATAATAGATATCAATGAATTATCTTATATGCAGAAGCACTGAAAACTATTTATAAATGGCAACGGTGGTCGGTGTTTACATTTATCTGTCTTATGGCCTACGTCAAACTTCAAATGCATGTTTGTTTACTTTTTACAGTAGATATTTACGATATTTTGGCTGTATTTTGAGTGATATTTGTGAAAAGTAAAATAAACATATTATAATATTGGTGCTACAGTTTTGCATTTGCAAAAAAAAAACGAAATATTTACATCCCGATCTCTCATTTCATTTGTAAGTACTGTCTGTTTACATTATTTAAGATGAGGAACTGGCGTACCATTGGGTTTATTAATGTTCATTAATGTATTAACAATAAGATATGAGTTTATGAAATTAGTAGACATTTTTAAATTGTAAGTAGACATCATCTGATTAAAAAATATCTGTTTAGTACCTTTTTAATTTAATATTTCTCATGGATACAAATAAATTAAAACTCATTTATTTTTCTATGTAGGTTTCCAAATAATATTGACGATCGAACTATTTGGGTAGCAAATTTAGGAGAAAATATAAAGATTTTTTATTGTAGCATTATTTTGATACCTATTAAAAGATTAAATTGAATTCAACTATATTTTATTGTATTAATTTTAAAGCAAATAAACTCTCTCATTTTTTAATTCTTCGAACGTGTTTTTATACATTATTACTACTTCCAATTTTTAAAGTCTGAATAATTATCCCCGCGAGTAAAACTTCAAGCACGCTTATGCTCATTGAGGAAGCATCACATTCTATCGAAGCGTCAAAACATTGTTTGTTAAAGGTATCTTATTGCTGTGTCCATCTGTGCTTATACGTCCATGATTACAGTATAACCGAAATAAACAGTACTGAAACTAAAACATAGGTGTCCAGATAGGTGTCTCTTTGTGTGCGCTGTCATACTAGGAGTGGACTAAACGAGTATTTAGCTGTAACAGTTATACCTATGACAAGTATTTTTTTAATACCTAGTAGAAATACTAGTTACAATATACCTGTTACCTTGACAGGACGAGAAAATATCTGTAGCAGTTGCGATGTTTTAGTAACAGAATAATAAACAATAATTATTCTTTGTTTTAGTATTGTTGTTAAGGGTACCTACCCGTTATCGCATTTAAATAATAATAATAATATTTAATAAATATACCTAGTTATTTGCCTAGTTATAATAAAATAAGTATTTGTAATATATTTTTTATTTAGTAACAAGGAAAACAACATTTCAAAACAAAAAATAGTTTAAATTAAAAATGAATAAACAATCTGTTACATATTTATGTTGAAAAACATTAACTCCTTGACTTTTTTTGGTTGTTAAACTTGTTCTTCGTTTCGATATTATGATAATTCCTGCCTTAAAAAATAATCGTTTACATGACACAGATGTTGCTATAATATTGCACGTAATTTTCACCAATTATAATGCCTCCTATGCCAAAGTCAATGTTTATTTTCCAAATTTTGATATTGAGAATCCACTTGGAAATCCCTAATATTTCAGGTAGATAAACGATGTTCCATATACTCTATAGAATGGGCTGCCAAAAAAAATTCTAACCAACAAGTTGTCAAAAAAAAATTCGATGATTTGTATTTGATTCGATGATTTCAAGGTGTCTCCTGCCATCCATTGATTTTCCTTGATTAAGGTACTTCTACAACCATAGTTTGTGGAAAGTTTGTTAACTTGGTTTTAAATTTATTCCACACCTCCTCTGGATCTTCTAGTTATTCTCTGCTGATTTATATTTTATTGTTAAATTAGTTTTTAATGTTATCTTTTACGTTTATATCATCAAAATTAATTATATTGGTTTGTGGTTTTTGTCGTTGGATTCGTTTAAACTTAGTTTAATTTTTGCCACAAGAGATTGGTGATCTGATCCAATGTCTGCTCCTGGAAATGTAATTACTTTTTTGACAGCATTTCCAAAGCGCTCACTTACAAGTATATAATCTATTTGGTTTCTTGAAGACCCATAGTTACTGCTATCATCAAATGGGGCTTTCCAAGTTATATAAGTCGTCGCTTGGGTAGTTTATACCTTGTGCTTGCAATGACCATGTCGCTTTTTTTTACAAAGTTCAAACAATTTCTTTCCTTGATTGTTAGGTTGTCCAAGACCACAAAGACCTGCAATTTAATCTTATAGGCCTACCCCAATTTTTGCATTGAAGTCGCCTATAACATATAAAATTTCATGTTTATTTAAGATGCCTAGGATTTGATAATAGAGGTTTTCGACTTCATCGTCATATTTCCTTTTTGTAGTCGGGGTATATATTTAAAGTATATTGGTTTTGAATGGGTGGGTATTTATTTGGAGTAATACTATTCTATCCAAGACTGGTACGAAGATGGTTACGTTTTTCAGTTCTGATGTTACTAATATACCTACATCATTTTTGTGATGTTGGTCTTCTGTGCTGTTACCGGAATATAATAATACGCTACCATTCTTTTTACATGTCTCTGACTCTGGCCATCTCAATTCGCCTATTCCGAGTAGATCTATTTTCATTTCTTGAATTACAAGTTTTTCAGCCGCAAATAGACTTCCCACATTCCATGTGCATATTCTCTATGTGGTGATTTTCCTGAGGGTACTCTGTGAGTCTTTAATGAAGTGGTTCGCCTCTGCCGTCTGCATTCTTATACCGTTGACTATTTGTTGATTCATCCGCCTTTGGGGCCGATTTCTCAACCCCACGATAAAAGAGTGGCCTGCCACTTACCAACCCTTCCTCCTGAAGTCGTTGGTCAGCAAGTGGGGGGATTGCTTATACCGGCAATCACTCGGAAGTCAGAACCTCATTTGTCAGAATCAAGATTATCATACGGACAGGTGAAGTTGACATTTGGATAGGAGAAGCTATATGTTGCGCATCACCATCTCTTACATCCCATTAGATACACATAAACCTGTAATAATATATCTCTTAATATAATAAAATTATCTCTACTGATAGATGCTTTTTTTGCTGGAAATATCATCATATTCATTTTATGAAAAATGTTTTTCATGAAGGTTAACTAAACCTGGAATGGCTAGAGAGATTCTCGGAATGGCTCTCAGCTATGCCTATGTGCACCCCTGAAAAGACAGCCTATGACAAGATATTAAGAAACAAGAAAAACGCCCTAGAAAAGAACACAGTTTGATGATTATGAAACATTTAGTCTTTTTCACCTTTAAAAAAAGTTAAGATATTTATTAAATTTAATGTATTCCTTTTTTATTTATTTTTGTTTTGCATTGTTTTAATGATTTAATTTAAATTTGCCATAGGAAATATTGTCACAATTATCACCAAAGATATTCAACAATTCGAACAGTCTATATGGATGTTCAACGATGTTTGGATTTCTATTATACAAACGATTGTGATTTGTATTTTAATATATCTACATACCGGAAGTGCGTGCATTGTAGGAGTATTCATGCTATTGGCTCTAATACCAGTGCAAGGTAAGCTATTTATTTCAAAATAAGATTTTTCATTAATTGTAATAAATATATTAATAATTTATTCATCTATAATATATAATTTTTTGAAGCGAAGCGTCTATAATGGCGTTGTATTACTTTTTCTCTATAGTAAAATGCTGAGGCGAGCGCTACGGAACTAGCGCCACAATGGCGTCTTCACTGAATTAGCGATACAAGATGGCGTCGTCACGGGGGGCCTCATAAAATAGCAGTTCTTCACATCGATTCATTATTCTCTATCAATTCTAGTCATCATATATTTATTCGAAGCAGGTTTAAATAAAAAATTGCATGAATAATTCTCTACAAGACACACTTCTCGTTTTAAATTTTCATATAAACATAATTATTATTTTTAAACATATTTAGTTTACATAATTATTAGATTCGTATTAAATTTATTTGTATTTTATTATAGTTTATTATTCCGTTTGAATTTGAATCTGGCAGAAGTAAACAACGTATGCTTTGTTAATACGTCAACAGATGGCATTATGAGCAAACATAATAATTCAATGAATTATTTGAATTTAATATTATAATTTGTTTAAAATTTAAATAATAAAAAATAATAAAGAAACATAGTATAAAGCTTCGCGCTGCCGTTTACTGTAACATATTTGTTTATAGGGAGTCGTTTTTATTCGCTTTTGACATATCTTTCGCATATCTTAAGCCGGGATCTCATGGAGCGTCGAGAAGCGCTCTCCGCCAGTTCACGTTGTCGAAGTGAAATAGAAAATAGATAATAGTGAAAAGAAAAGAGCACGGTTGGCCCGCCACTTTACTGTAAAACTAATAAATATTTTCTTCTTCATAACTACCTCAATGGAACGTGTCTCCATGAGATCGAGGGTTAAGTGTAGTTTTGTTTATTGTACACCACCGGTATTGGCGGTACAAATTTTAATAAGTTGGGTAATTTAAACAATTATGAAAATTCCAATACAACTTCGTTAGACCACTCTATAGTAAACTTAGCTTTACCCTGACAGTACCAGACTCTGGCCGCGTTGCAAGGCTAGGAGGGATAAGTACGTGTTATGTATCAGCTTCCTGCCTTTGCTTCAATCGTGTCGATTTACCCACAAACAACGAGACAGCATGTGTTCACCAGATATAAATAGTTTTGCTCTATCTCAGGGATCATAAACCACAAAAATAGAGGGAGAAAACGGTATTCCCTGTTGCGTTGGTTCCCGTCTTTATATTTTGGCTTTTTCTATTATGTATTTTTTATTTCTCTTCGCCGATGAATAACGTCATTCTGGTCATATAATATTTCTTTTACTTCTGATAGGTATACAAATTGTATTTCATTCTACAGATATCCTTTTGACATTGCATCAAATATTCTTAGTTCGAAACTAAAGTAAGCAGCACATTGGGACGCAGGTGACACAGTTGACGCAATGCAGGCCAGGTTACACAGGTCAGAAAATATACGTGTCACGCAGTGTGAGCGCATATTTGGAAGCAGTCTTCTCGAAAACTTTGAGGTGCGAATATCGAATATATTATATGAACATAGAAAGAGAATTTTATAATTTACATAATGGCGTTATTTCTGGACAGTTCCGAATCAGAGTCAGACATAGAATTTGAAGAAACAGTTTTATTATTCAACATGTCAAAGAGAAAAAATCATTTTGGAAAAGCAACTATATGAAAAAGAGAAATACTCATGGGGAATTTGCACTGTCATCAGAATTCTCTGAGTCTCGTTATTTAAATTATTTTCGGTTAAGCAGAAAACATGTTGATGAAGTACATAATATAATAGAAAACAGTATTTATTCAGATGGTTGTAATGCCCAAAAACCAATAGGAACCAAAGAAAAACTAGCTGGTTTTTTAAGGTATTATTTTTATTAATTTTGTTTTATTAAAAATTACAAAAATATCATTTTAAACAATCATAATTCTATACTCTATAATTTTCCACAAAATTACGAATATTACCGGTATCAACCGTTTGAGGAGATGTCTCAGCAGACAACCTGGGGTGAGTGTAGTAGATAAATAATTACTGGTGCTTCTAAAGTTGTAATCATTTGAGCATAAAAAACAGTTGTTGGGAATAGGAGCTAGAGGATTATTACAATGTTAATTCTCAGTATGCTGGCTACTGTGACTGAAATTTGGCGATGGAAGAGGTTTTGACGAGTAATGGGGCTGCTGAATATGGGTATTAACATATGCACTTGTAAAAACTCTTTGTTCACTATGAGTGTAGTTTTCTTGACTGGGATCATGAATTTCTAGATATGCAGCTTCGAGCTGCAATATAGCTTGGAACACATCATTTCTTGCACGATGTTGAAATTTAGGAGGCATTTTTTTGGTTATTTTGTACATCAACATATAAAAATGATAGAGATCATCATCCAAAGGCTTCTGTGCTGCTCTTTCAACTGCTCTTTCTTCGGCCCTTTTTTGACGTTGCATAATTGACTGCTTTATCACTTCCTGTATATCATCATTTTTAGGTTTCTTATTTTTAGCTACTTTGGTTGTGATTGATTGGTCTTCAGTTGCCTTACGTTTGGTATTTTCTTTTTCGTTATTTTTTTGTATAACAATACCAGCGTAGACGGCTCATTACAATGTCATTTTTAATACTCTCGATTTCTTCGGTATCATGTCGAATGTCGCTGGTCACCTCGTCAAAAATTTCACTCTCTGTATCAACTATGGAATCTTCCTGTTGTGGGTCTTCATCTTCACTATCTTCTTGTAAATTACTTATTTAATTTAAATAATTGGGATCGTTAATATCGTAAAGAATTCTCTGGCTTCTCACCAATTCGATTAATTGTTCATTCATTTCGAATATAACCACACAAAATTTTACTAGAAACAAACAAACTGCTCTGTACGTGGCACAGGAATCTGTGTCCGGACGACTGCGCTGGCAGGTTTTCCTAAACACAGTTCTGTGCTGCCCTGCCCTGCGTTCCAATTCGCGCGGGGTAATGTAATTGTACGGAAAACAGAAACCTGTGCTGTCCTACGCTGCGTTTCCTGCGTCACCTGCGTCTGAATGTGCGGCGCGCCTAAGTCAATGATGCGCTTCTGTTTTAGTAAAAGGAGTAGTCCGTGTTTCCGATCCATATTAAATATTTTTAACTTTAGTTTTTGTTTTAACTTACTTTTATTTGAGTGTTTGATTTTTATATGTTAAATTGGCCTTTTAATTGATGTTTGTACTCTTGTTTTTGCTCATGATATTTCTTTAGAACCAATTCGCTGCCAAACTTCTTTTTTCTTTAAGTTTATAGTGCCCACAGGTCTATTTTATGTTCTGAACTTATAGAAAAATATTTAAAAAATTCTAAAACTGGTCACAACAGCTCTAACTCTAAAAACAGGTTTGTTACCATTATGGAGCATGGTCATAAGTATGTAGTAAAAAATCAACAACGTCAATTTAAACTTAACATTTATTGATGAAAAAAATGTTAATATTTTGAGATGATTTATATATTTTTCTACCCTCTTACTAGTAAATTGTATATTACCTACTATTTGGATGCTAAGTAAATGCATCATAACAGATACTGACACGTAATGATTAGCACGTAATAAAAAAAATTACGCTTCAGATTTAATAAAAATGTGTAATATATAATAAATGTGTTATTTTGACAGATTAAAAGTTATTAATCTGTCAGTGTAAATATAGTGGTAATTTAATTTTTATTTTTATAAACGAAAATATTCGTAGAAAAAGTATAGTACACAACTTGAGTTGTAAGCTTATTACATGCTTGTAAAATTACTGCGCTCGCCGCTACGCGGCTCGCGCGCAACTTTTTTACTCGCATGTAATAAGCTTCTTACAACTCTCGTTATGTAATATACTATTTTTTTTCATGATGAGATTTGAAACAATTAAGAGAATGTACATTATTTTTACGAATACCGCATCCAAAAGTTAGGCTTGTTTTATATATTTTGCATCTGTTTTAAAATCGATTTGTTTGAAGGAAGTTGGGTAATGCAGAACCGACATATTTTGTAAAACAGATCTTGGAATTTTTCGAAAGAATGTTTCTAACTTTGTCTTTTCTGGTTTTGGTTGTGAAAGGTTGAATAGTAGATATGTTGTCACAATGTTTCTCATAAACCTTAATAAATCCAATGGATGCATACCTTCAACAAATTCATCAGCGTTTGATTGCATTTTATTGTGGTTTTGAATTCTATACAAAATCCATGCGTTAGAGATTGAAGCAGACAAAAGGTGTACAAACATTTGTCTTCATCTTCTGCTTCTTCCTCTGTATAAGCAATTCTGCTTATTCATTGGCGGATTAATACCTCTATGGAAGGTTGTCACTCTATCTTTTGCGCGGTCTTCCGATACTTCTTCTGCCGATTGGTGACTTATCTCTTGCTATTTTTACGACATGGGTCTTCTACATTCTGCTTATGCAATTATTCCATTATTTTTTTGTCTTTTGTTCATTCATTTATACACTGTACGTTACATTTTCTTGTAATGTCTTCACTTCTCTTTCGATCTCTCAGCGTATTTCCTGTAATTTTTCTCAGTACTCTCATCTCTACCGTTTCCAGTAGCCTTTGCGTTGCGGTTGTGTCGGGTCTTGTTTCTGAGGCATATGTAATTATTGGTCTTACACTTTTTTTATAAATTCTTGACTTCATCTTAGTGGTAATGTGTCTGTTTCGCCATATAGTGTTATTAAGACATCCTGCCAGTCTATGTGCTTTTTGGACTTGATCTCTCACTTCTTTGTCGCTATAGCTAGATAGCGTAATTTCCAGTTATTTTATTTCCATTACTTGTTCAATACTGATGCCATCAATTTCTATTTTACATCTGGTTGGTTCTTTGCTGACTACTATTGTTTTAGTTTTCTGAGATGAGATTATCATATTAAATTCTTTTGCTCCTATGTTAAATCTGTGGATCTTTATCTTGGGCTATCAATGTGCGTCTGCGTAACAGAGTATTTTTATTTCTTTGTTTCCCATTCTTGAAGTTGCCAAGTATTATTACTTCTCCCGTAGAGGAGTGCTGATCTCTCCATTTACTTCGTTGAGATTTTGATGAAGCTCGTAAGGTAATATCACTGATTATTTCTTATGTATCTTTACGTTCACCCGATGATCACTGATGACTGCAGAATTCATAATTCTTTTTTTCACTTTTGTTTAATGATTGTGGAGACTCCCCTTTTGGCTCTTTGGTCTTTAGTTACTCTACTATACAAGTGTACGCGTTGTCGTTTTGCTACTGTAACAACTCCTTTTTTCTTTATCTCCGCCAGTAAAACAATCTCTATAACCACCGAAAATGAAATATAGAATTACAAAATCAGAAAAAACTTCATACAAATTGTGAATTTATTTAAAATACGTAATTTGACTCCTCCGGTACTACATATTCTCTCTTTTTATAAACCGTTGAGTGAAGCAATAACAAATAGAATTAAAAATGTGAATTTGGGAAGGATTCTTAAAGTATCAAGAACGGGAAAAATATAAAACCTCATATTCCTTTAAACAATTGTTCTGAAGCTATTTTCTTGTGGCATTGTAAATTAATTACTATTAAACTGGGAATAAGCCACAATTAAAGATAAAAATACGTTTATTGACGTTTCAATTTCCACTTCGGAAATCGTTCTCAAAATACAAACAGTAAATTTTACTGTTTGTATTTTGAGAACGAAAGTTTTAGTCTACACCTTTTCCACTTTTATAAGTCCCTACGATGGTACATTCAGTTGCTATTTGCAAAGTTTTAGTTGGAAAATTTTAATACCATCAATAATATTTAAAATTTATAGCTTGGATATCAAGAATCATCAGAAATCTTCGTTTGAAAATGGCGAAAAGAACAGACGAAAGATTACAAAGAATGCAAGAGAGCTTATCAACAATAAAAACTATTAAAATGTATACGTGGGAGCAAGTTTTCGCAGATAAAATTGGTGAAGCACGATAGTAAGTATTAAACAAACTTTTTGTTATTCAGTAAATACTTTTAACCCTCCGTTAGGTACGTGGTAAACTGAGACACGCTGTCTACGATCGTAGACCATTTTATTTATATTATTAAACATAAAAGTTTCATAGTTTCAATAATACTACTGCATTGGGTATATTTGTTGAATTATTGTTAATGATGCTGACCAGTTTTTATAAGAAAAGGTTTGCTTATTTCTTTATTAGACAATAAAAAGACTACTCCATACATTTTAAAATTTTTATTAACCATTAAAATTATTTTGCTTTAACAAGAACTTTAGTGTAAATTTGACAAAAGAAGAATTGTTGTACCAAACAATACTAAGAACAAAATCACCCAAAATCCCATAAATAAAAGTACTGTTAAAAAATTGTATGACTTAGAACCTACAGAAAACATTACATTTTTAGTCAGCAAAACAATCATATTGCAGATTTCTTCCATGTGGTTTTTGCATGCAAACGCTTGTTCAAATTCTGAATTCAGAATTCAGAAGAGTTCAAATTTCGAGGACAAACATTGCAACGCCCCACATAATTCTGTGGTCGCACAAGGGGTTGAGGGTGATTATTTTCTATGCCCAGCAGAGATTGAGCTCGCTTCTCAAGCATAATTCCCAAGCACACTTTTCAAAAAAGTCACTGCGTTTTATTTTCTGTTTAGGGTGATTAGCCTTATACATGCAGATGGCGTTTATGTGAAAAATATTCAATAAATTGTAAAACACAACCATTGGCTAACGGCGTGTATTTCTTGCGACGTTTTAAATTTTACACAATTGATCTACCATATCCACGCCAATTTTGGTGTTATAATCAGTGATCATTACTGACTTTCTATCATCTCCAGAGTTATTTTTCTTTGGGACATATGACAGCATAGTACAATAAGCTTGGAAACCAAAAAGAGACGACTTAACTTCTCGATTTTTCTGGGGCAGAAACTCTTGGGGAACCTCTGGTCTTTTTTTCTTACAGTACCCAAATATTTAAGTTTTTTCTTCAGTAAACTGTTGACCAATGATAAACTGCTAATCAAGTTTCCAAATTGAATGTGTAAAACGTTTTTGTGTCTACCAGAGCAAATGTTTTAATGCCATATTTGGCTGGCTTTATTGGGATGTACTGCTTAAAAGGCGCAAGTTTATCAATTTATTTTCGCTCTGTTCTTGTCTCCACATCATCGAACCGTAGACATCTTCGAAATCGAAACTTTTCTCGCTCATTGCCAGGTAGCATGAGTCAACTCCGGATCCTTGAGAATTATCCCATATTTTATGTAAATTTTTTCTGGAACTTCTAAGAATGCCAATCAAGAACAATATATACATGCATGAATTTCAGTTTTATTAGTTTGTCTACAATCTTGATTTCTTTGGTAATTGCTCCGTATCTTTTCAATAAAAATATTTGTCGAGACAGTTATTACTCTAATAACTGTTTCATCCAAAAATAACTTCAGACAATCAATTTCAGTTTCAACAGTACGTGCGTTTCCTTTTATACCAGGCATAAATTTGATGAGATTCTGAGAATGGATACGAACTTGTAAATTGGATCTATTCTTTTTCCATTTAGTCACCCTGTCTTTTACTATGTAAAAATTTAAAGGACATACTTTATCAGAGTCGACTAACGTTCCTTCATCTTGGGCCAATTCCTCTTCCTCCAGTGTTTCTAATTTAGAGTCTGTTTTGTGATCACCCCCTTCAGCAAAATTCACATTCACATCGAGATCATCTTTGGACTCATCATCACAGTCTTCTTCGGACTCATCATCACAGTGCTTTATTAGAGCCGTCTGACGTTTCTTCATCTTATGCCAATTCCTTTTGTTCCAATGTTTCCAATTTAGAGTCTGTTTCGTGATCAATCCTTTCAGCTTCGGACTTTTCAATACAATCTTCTTCTTCTCCACTTGATATTAATATCTCCTCAAACAATCGAGACCAAACTTCCGGGTCATTGCTTCGTTCCACCCGTCTTCTTTTATTATCAGACATACATAGTATTATCTCAAATATATCACAGTAATTACAAGTGTACCAAATGGTAATAAATAAAAGTTACCTTGAATTTTGAAAACAATAGAATCAAATATCTGCAATGTAGCCAGATGTTGTAACGTCAGTGGACACGTGTTCTACAGTCGTAGATCAGTACTTTCCTATGCTTGACAAAACACTCAACTAAAGTGCCGAACACAAATAAAATCATAAATTAGAATAAGACGTCCGTTAGCAACAGAGCAAAATGACAGAGATATACAGGTGTTTGAAAAGAGGTGGTCTACGATTTTTGGAGGTGTCTAATGGAGGGTTAAAAAATTACTCCAACGGTTTAGAGCTAGCGGAAACGTAGAATATAAAAAATAAAATTATATTTCTGTAAGATCTATAAGACCTGTTTTAAATGGATTTTTAACAACGAATCTCTATTTTTTATGGATAATGGATAAAATAGCACCCAATAAAGATTTTTTAATTATTTTGTTGACCTATTCTAAGCCACGAACTTAAAATAGGTCGAGGTGGCTTTCGGCAAAATAAAAAGGATAATAGTTAAAACTAAAATACCGATATGGCTGACAAGGAAGGTGCTAGAACAATGTGTACTCAAAATGTTGACTAATGATGAACAAAATTTAATACTAAAAAAACTATGAAAAAATTCAGAGTGGCGAAGGGAGTCATGAAGATGTCGATGCTGGAATTCAAGCTGAGAGATAAAAGTTCCAAATGTAATTATATGAGCCATACAAGACATGCTGTAAAAAAGAACAGCACATATGAAGTGGTGCTGAGTCGTGCACGTGGCGAAAATGAATTAGGCTAGCTGGACTAAACGCATAATGGAGTGTCGTCGTAAATTTTAGACATATATGTAAAGTTAGACCTCACAATAAGATAAACGGATGATATAAAAGCCTTAGTGTCGTTACATACTATAAGAAAAACACCCGACCCGGGTCTTTAACGGTCCGAGTGTTTTTCGTATGAATTTTACACAGCGCATACCTGTTTATCCGATTTCTCTCGATCCGGAGACCTCACATCATTTTCAGTATCAGTGCAGTATTCAGTGTTCTTTCATTATGGACAGACGTAAGAAAATGATTATTATTTCTTTATTAAGACATCGTCGCAAAACAAAAAAATTGAGAACTGTTTGGGTTCATCCAATAGTTGCACAACGGTATATTGTTGGTACATTTCAGACACTATTTTCCCAGCTAAGGGAAGATAATGTGAAATTTTTCAATTACTTTCGAATGTCTATTTCTACTTTTGATGAACTACTAAAGTACCTACAACCTCATATCCAGAAAGAAAATACCCACTTAAGAAATTGTATTCCACCTATAGAAATGTTGGCAGTAACATTAAGGTAAGTTGGGAAGTTTAATTAATTATTACTAAAAAATAAGCTTTATTATTGAGTTAATAACAACAACTGTATTAAAAATCCATATCTGACAAGAATGAAGAAAGTGAGGAGGGTGTCCCTGCTTCTGTTGAAAGAGGTGTTGATGTTTGACGAGTATACTCTTCTTGGTAATGTGTTGTTGCTGCAGTTAACATATTGGACTGTGTCTGTGTATTATTAAAAGCCGTAGCTTGACTGTTGTCTTGTGTCCCAGGTACAAAATGTTGCTGAGGTCGAGGGTGCGCTGGAGGATATGGATTGTGTAGCGTAGAATAGTAGAGAGGCGTTTGTTGGTTGACAGCCGGCAGATGAGGATTTCCCGATTTAATGTTTTTTACCAACTGTAAAATTCCCATCTGAAACTCAATAGTTTGGGAGTCATTAAAACCTTGAATAGAAGGTAGGACGCCTTTAAAAAACAGTAAGTGCCGGTCTTGCGGCTCATCCGACTCCAAGCTTTTCAGCATTCGCAATTCAAACTCGTCCATTCTACGCTTTTTGTTTGCACCTTGGGTTACTTTGTGAGCACCATCACGACGTTTGGTAGTTGTTTTTTCTGGTGCTACTTCTGTTACAGGGGTGCCAGTAGCTTGGTCCTTATTTTGTTGTGAATCGTTTTCACTTTCGTGTTGTTCTTCGCCTTCATTTGGAATATTAGATTCTGTTGGTCTGTGGGTCGGAATTTTCTCCAGAAACTTTAATTGTTCAGCATAAATATACTTTCTTATTTTTGATGCTCCTGCTCCTGATTTTTTTACGTCGTTAACCCTCTTTTTCCACTTCATCCATTGGTCTCGAATATTTGTCCAACGTTTCAAAACCAATGTACCTGCAATAAGAGAATCGTGTAAAATTTGTGTGACTTCAAGGTGAACATAGTGAACAAGTCAAAGGACCCCGCGCTTTTTAGTAGGAAAATGACCCTTGATGAAATTTTCTACATTTTTGATATGTTGTAATTATCATCAACCATGGACCCAACTCAATCCTATGAGTAGTTTTCGAGATAGAGGGTGTTACAGTTTAAAATGGTTTCATTTTACTACTACTTAAACTTGTAGTAAACGTTTTTGTGTAACATAAATTCAATCCATTTTAAAGTTTAACACCCTGTATCTCAAAAACTAGTCATAGGATTGAGTTGGGCCCGGAGACTTTTGATCAGGATGATGAGAAATATAACATATCAAAACAATTTCGGCCTATTCTATTGTCGTCATGCTTCTGGAGTTCTGTAATCCAATAATCGGCGGGGCGTCTGCCCGGATAGTAGTTGTTGGAGCTTCAGAAACGGCCGCGAATATCCCTTGACCTCAGGGGTTGTGGAACCGGAGATAAAAAGCGCAAAGCTTGTTTTGTTTGTATGAACCAACTCCGGAAAAATTCGCATATCGTGTGTGTGTGAACATATCAATAATTTAGAAAATTTCACCAAGGGCCATTTTCCTACTAAAACTATGATCAATTACAGTTACCTACTTTCTTTTTCAGGTACCTCGGTAGTGGATGTTATTTCACAGATCTACATTACAGTTATCGAATGGGAATATCTACAATAGCGAACATTGTGCGAGAAGTTTGTAATATTATTTGGTTAAAGTTAACCGACGACTTTTTGCCTAAACTTAATAGCGAACTATTACAAAATGTAGCCGAAGGTTTTGAAGAAAGAGCAAATTTTCCACATTGTATAGGAGCCGTTGACGGCAAGCATATCCGAATAATTAAACCAATTGGTAGTGGATCCATGTTCTTTAATTATAAAAGCTATTTTTCGGTAGTGCTGATGGCTGTTGCTGATAGCAACTATCGATTTATTTACGTTGACGTTGGTGCATACGGAAGTGAATGTGACTCAACGGTTTTTAAAGAAAGTTCTTTGTGGAAAAACATTCAGACTCAAAAACTACAGTTACCAAATCCTAGGCCCCTCTATGGTTCATTAAATCCAGACATACCTTACTTTTTTATCGGAGATGAAGGTTTCGCCTTGAGTACTCATTTACTTAGACCATTTGCAGGGAAAGACTTAAATTATAAAAAAAAAATTTTTAACTACCGCCTCTGTCGAGCAAGAAGGTATGTAGAATGCACATTCGGAATACTGGCAAATAAGTGGAGAATTTTTCATCGTCCTCTTAATGTCCATACAGACTTAGCGGTTAATATTGTTAAAGCATGTGTCGTCCTTCACAATTTTGTAAGGGAAAAGGACGGTTATAACTTTGAGGACACCGTTTCAACCGATGGTTTTGATGATATACCTACACATCAAATCAGTCATGGTCAAAAAGCTGGGACTGGCATACGAAACGTTTTAGCTGACTATTTTGTAACAGATGAAGGCTCTGTGCCGTGGCAAAACTCAAAAATTTAGATTAATAAATTGCATAATTGTTACTATAGATACTTATTTCACAATAATAATAAAATTTATAAATCTTATATGAGCTTCAATAACTTGTAGTGGACATATAAAACAAAATAATAATATAATATAGCCAAATGTACTCACCAAATTGTTTGCGCTCCACGGCATCTACTTGGTCGAAGTTTTCATCCAGTTTGATGCAGATCTCTCTCCAAGCATCTCTTGTTTTATTCCTGTCTTTATATTCCTCCGAACTTTTGTTCCAAATTACAGGATAATCTTCTACCAAACTTATTAGCACGTCTATGTCAATTTCCCGTTCGGACGTCATAGTAGTAGTGATCGCACACACAACACCAGTACAACCCAGATGCTCTCGGATCACTGCGTCCGAGTACTACAGGAACAGTGTGTAGTGATATATTTACGCCAATGCCCCACTAAGTCTCGGTACGGTGAAATGCCCGGTCCGAGACTCGGACGAAGCAGCAGGGATCCGAGAGGTATTCGGTCTCGGCCCGGGCGTTACTCCGTTTCTTGTATAATGTGAAAAGACTAATATGTTTAAATGCCCTGGTACGATTTATACGAAAAACACTCGGACCGTTAAAGACCCGGGCCGGGTGTTTTTCTTATAGTATGTAACGACACTTACAGTAAATTAGATGTACACGGCACAAAATCGGACGAAGTGGAGAAAATTTAGGAACGCCCAAGCTCAACAGGGGATACTACAAGCTGTGTGATAAAGACTAAATATACATTTGTCTTTGATATGTTTTATTTTAAAAAATGTTTAATTATTAAATAAGAGTAAAATCATATAAACACTATTTATGTTTTAGCCAAGAATTAAAAACTTTACTTAAAGCCACATATTCAAAGATGTCTCTTGGAATCACCAGCAGCTTAGTCGCAAGATTCTCTCTTTATTCTGTATTAATGATTTACATATGGATACACAACGATATGAGTGCAGAAGATATCTACTACATCATGAAAATATTTGGTGCTCTTAGAGTGACCGTAGCAAAGGACTTTTCAATAGGGTTCACTAAAATGGGAGAATTATCAGCGTCTTTAAAAAGAATCACAAATATTCTTGAACTTGAAGAGTTGCCAGAAGTTGAAGATATACCTGATAGTGACCCTTACGTTAATTTGAAGTGTGTTTCAATAAAGTTTCAAGAGAAATTTGTTTTAAAAGATATTTCTCTGGAACTATCAAAAGGTTTAAACATAGTAACTGGACAATTAGGTTGTGGAAAAAGTTCTTTAATCAAAGTGATACTAAGGGATTACCCTGAAGATGAGGGTACTGTTAATACAAGAGGCAGGATGAGTTATGCCTCGCAGGACCCATGGCTGTTTCCGTCTTCCATCAAACAAAATATTCTATTTGGAGAGGAATATAATGCTTCTAAATACAAGCAGGTAAAATCAACTTATTTATTCATATTGTTTTTTTTTTATATTTTTCAAGATACTAATGTCAACTTATAAGTAATGCCCTGATAAATGTAGACAAGCTACACATCGTTTTTAACCAAATGGGATAATATATTAGACCTTTCAATAATTAATAAGTAATCATCAGTTTACTAAGTTTGAATGGAAGGCTACTTTAATTATTTATGCTTGGAGGACATGAAAAAAAAATATGTTGTTATAAAGACAGAAAGAAATATGTAAATATTCAGTAAAAGTTCATTAATAATTTATACATATCATAAATTACAGACTACTAATATGAAATATACACTAAAGAAATACAAAGAATGGTAAAACAAATATATTGGATGGTGATGAGGAGACTAGTAACTCAGTTGTGTTTGTTACACACAGTTACTACTGTGTTTTCGCTATATCACATGCATACAACCAACCATTTTTAATGTTTTTTGTATTCAACTCGTATTCAATACTTTCAACGACAATGGACTGCAAAAAATTGATTTACCAAAATGTATACATTAAATTCTTGATTCAACACATAATGTTACCAGTTTCCTCACGAGAAAATCACGGATATTTTTCAACATTACATGTTTAGGTCATAATTAACATCCCTAGGGTACCAGTAGCACTTATGCCAAAATTTTTAAAAATAGAATCAATACTCCTCTATAGATTCGTAAAATGGCATAAGGGAGAATTTTTTTTACCAGAGACGATTTTGACTTGATTTAATCTTTCAGTACTCTCAAGGGCATACAGAATTAAATCGTGGTTGAAATTCGTCGGAAATCTGAAGGTTATAGCAAAAAATATAGACGCTTATATCTAAGCGTCTATATTCTTTGTTCATAGTATCATGTTTTGGAACCATACGCGTCATCTACCGGGAGCCCAGAATCTCCGCGTCGATGGAAACAGCGAGTATAGTTTCCATCAAGATACAAAAAAATTTTGTCTGACGCTGGTGGGATCACCCTACCGATTTAGTATTGTAATAACAAATAACGGAACCTCGAGGAGCGGATTCGCTAAAGTTAAAAAAAATTTAAAGCACATAAAATATTTTAATAGGGTTGGAATAATAAATATAAAATTAAATATCATATCATATAGTTAATACGTATTTATATCTATGTAGTTATAGTTATCTTATTATGTACAATGAAATAGAAGAAATGAACAAATTAAAGAAATTAAGAAAAAAATTGTTAATAACGGTAAAAGAGTAAAAGAGTGGTAGCAAAAATCAGAATTAAAAAAAAATTGAAGTTGGATGGAAAAAAATAATTACAAATTGCAACTCTATGTCACTATCGCTGTCATCCAGTAGAATGTGATACCGATTGGCTACTAATTAGCTCTAGATTAATTCAATAGGGTTGGAAACACAGTAATAAGGAGGTAATCGCAATATAATATGACCATCACGTTTGGCTAATTCGTCTAAAACAAACTGTTTCTCGAATACTTTTGTGTGAAAAACTTCCAACATTTCTTTTTTTGTATGTTTCTTCAAAGTTCAAATCAATTTGATATAAAAAATCCGATATTTGTTTTTTTTTTGTCGAGCCTACACTGGGGATTTTTCTAATTTGTTCGCTGTGATACGTCGCGTTATCCATTACAATGACACTTTTTGGAGACAAGCAACACTATCTTTGGCAACACTATCTTTTCAAACCATTCCTAAGCAAGGGAATTCCTAACTTGTCATATTTTGATAGTAATCCAGCTTTGAATCTTTAATGTTTTTTGCGGATGGTAAAAATCTTTCTTCACCAAGCCAGCCATTTTTAGATCCAATGTTCAGAATAATTATTCTCTGACCTCTATTAATTGAATAATTGGGTGCACACTTATTAGAGTCGTCTGTCCAACCTTTTTATTATCGTGGGTATCGAACCATGTTTCATCCAGATAAAATATTGGTCTTCCTTCATCTCTAAATTTAGATATAGCATCCAAGTATTCGTTTCTCCAATTAATAAGTCAAGGGGAATCCATTATTAATGATCGCTTATTAATTTTCCTGCATCGAAAACCAATGTGATTTAAAAACCTTGATAAAGTTGAAGGAGAATACGTAATAAAATAGTGTTTAACAAGCTGATCGTAGATCATACTAGGCGTTGGAACTAGGTTATTTGAATAGAAATTATAAACTGCTCTTCTAATTACCTCAGCCTCTTTTTCATTTACTGTTTTATATGTAGAAAAGTCACTCCGTTTTTTACGAGGTTGAATTCTATCTGTAAAAATTTTCCACACTGTTGTATATGTCACCCTTGTCAATCGAGATGTTGTCTCGATGAAAAATTTACCGTCTTCTGGATTTGGATTATCTTCTTTTACTGTTTGATAAACATTAATAATATTTTCTTTAGAATTATCAGATAAATGTAAATGTGTTTTTACACTTAGCACTAAAAAAAGTCACTCCGCTTTTTACGAGGCTGAATTCTATGTGTTAAAATTTTCCACACTATTGTATATGGCATCCTTGTCAATCGAGATGTTGCCTTGATAAGAAATTTACCGTCTTCTGGATTTGGATTATCTTCTTTTACTGTTTGATAAACATTCCTAATAGTTTCTTTGGCATCATCAGATAAATCGTCGCTTGGATGCAGAAGTAGCCTAAGTCACAAAATGTTAATTTTACAGGAGAGCATTTTTTTTTGTTTTTTTTTCTCAAAATATTATAAAATTCTTTTATTAGAAAATTTTATAACCATATTCAAGAAGCTACTGATGTAGTCTATGTCCAAAATTGGACATAGAATATACTTACATGGAAGTACTTAGGCTAGTTCTGATTAATCCATAATACTAATAATCCAATCATGTCGTAGGTATAGGTATAAATTAGTTTAACAATAACAGTGTACTTACTCATAAATCGTATATTGTCGGCTTTAAGGTTTAACAAATCAGTTTCTGAAATTATTAACAACTGGGCCGTGTTAAAAAAAAAGACAGAAAATAGTATTACTACTTAAACAGATGGAACAAAAAAGAAAATAAAACAAATAAATTTAATTTAAAATTAGGAACTAAAATAAAACAATTATGAATATTTAAACATGATTTTCTGAATCTTCCCCTGTTCTCTTTTCGTCATAAGGTAGGTAGGTTTCTAAAAAAGTCATGATATTGACATGAAATAACTGTTTTCTGGCAAAAAATTGCAAATGATCGTATTTCTTTTTCGTTAATGGAATTTGCCTCGTATAGTTTGGCTTCAGTTCAATATCTTCTATATTAATTTGAAGTGTCTTTCTACCCTTTTTGACCAGATTGTTTGTTTTGTTAAATTCAATGTCTTTAAAATTGTATTTAAAAAACACATATTTGGATAGTCTGGCCGGGTTTGTAGAATTCTTAATTTGTTCCATTGAACTTTCTCATTAGATTCATCCTTGTCCCAATTAATGGATGTTTGTCCTAGAAGTTCTTTTAAATCAAATATATTTTCTTGGTCTAATTTAACGACGTTATACGGGTTGTTCCTCTTTGCATTTCTGACAATTGTGTACCATTGATGAGGATAATAGACTGGAATATTACGTGATGCTCTTTCAATCACACTATTCTCCCTCATTTTGTGTGTGCCCTCGTTCCAGAATCCTATGGCAAATTGTTACCTTATATAATTGAGAAATGTAATTGTATAATGAAAATAAGTGTTTATTTCTATTTTATCTGGCACAATTGTCAGAAAAAAGTGAAAACTCATTCATATCTTGTACGATATTACTCTTTATAAAATTCAAAAGGCAACTACCTATTTTACAAGAGCCTCTCTTGCCTTTGGTATTCTTACCACATATAACAATTGCATTCCTTATTACCCAAGTTGAAAATAGTAAAGTTATAAGTTGATAATTTTAGCTTATAATACGTTAACCCAATTTCCCACTTTGATACCTGAAGTAATTGTTGTAAATCTAAGACTGCACAACAAATCTGTTGATTCTCCTCAGCTCTTTTTTTCTGCATCCTTAAATTCCCTGGCTAAATTCTTGTTTCTCAAGTGGAGTTGATACATTTCTTCAGCTGTTAATTTCTCTTCAGTAGACGATTGTTCGAATCGATGACAAATATCGCACAAGTCTTTCCTTTGGCTGAAAGAATGACATATTAAAATCTGAATTAAATACAGCCTGTATGTACTTCCCGTTGCTACTTCAGTAATGTTCCTATCGAAACAGTATTCTTTATATAAATAATACGTTCTGGAAATGTTAAGAGATGCAGGTAAATACAAACGTGTTGTGTTTTTTCTACAATAGTGACTTTCAATTGTTTGAAAGGAATTTAAATGTTCTCGAACGGATTCTTTGACAGATTCGTTGAGTAAGGAGTTTTTGCAGGTATTTCCTCTTTTGTCTTCGGAAATCGTACCAGTGGAACAAGTTTTATTAAGTACAGTTTTAACGACCTGGGTATTTATACAAAAAGTATTTGAAAAGAAAATCTTACACACAGGTACTTTGATGTTACCCTTTATAAAAGAATAATCAAACGTGAATGTTCTTCTACTCTGTTGGTTTGGAGAAGGCGATTCTGCATTTTTCTCTAGAGCAATATTTATATTCTTTCGGTTAATTTTTGTTCTTTCTTGATCTCTAATATAGATTTCCTTTTTTCTTCAGAAATCTTCTCGCTAAATTTCATTCTACAATGACATAGATCTTTTATTTTGGAGGATGGTTGAAGTTTATTTTTTCAAGAGTTGGTTGTATTCCTTTCCGCTATTTCGAGATGTCTTTATTATATTTCTTCTCCAGGAAATTGGGTTTTTTTTCTTTTGCGTGACTGTCTTATTGAGACTTCTTGATCAGGTTCCTAATCCAACAAAACAACTTTGGGTTCATTTTCCTCGTTGTTGGAGCTATTTTAAATCGCGAATAAGCCTATGTCCTCAATATCTATACGTAAATTTATGCAGAACTAATCTATCTTCACGGTAAACT